ACAGCAGAGGAGTGGGCTGCTCGGAGGAACTATGGGAAGGCAGCCTCCTCCAGCCGTGGTGGCGATGGCAAGCGCCGCAGCAAGGCTTCTTTGGAGAAGAAGAAGCAGGTCGACCCCAACGCCTGTCGGCGCTGCAGGACGATGGGCCATTGGGCACGGGAGTGCCCAAATCGCAAACAGGAGAAGATGGCTGAGGCTCATCTGATGCAATCTAATGATGAGGATGAGTCCACTATCCTAATGACAATGTTCTGTGCACTACACGACGTCGAGGCTGAGGAGAAGGTAGAGGTGATGGCGGTGGAAGGACCTGGGAAGGCCTTGAAGACTATCAACCTCGACGAACCGCGTGCCCAAGTGCACCTCAGACATGTGGGCGCCGACCAGGAGCAGCGGTAGTATCTAGATTCTAGTGCCAGCAACCACATGACGGGCTCCAAGGAAGCCTTCTCCGAGCTCGATGATGATGTTACCGATACGGTGAAGTTTGGTGATGGCTCAAGGGTGGCAATCCAAGGGCGCGGCACCATCATCTTCAGGTGCCAGAACAGGGAGCACTGTGCGCTAACGCATGTATATTACATCCCGCAGCTGCGTTCTAGCATCATCAGCATTGGTCAGCTGGATGATCGTGGTAGTGAGGTACTGATCAAGGATGGAGTCCTTAGGATCAGGAGTCGGGAGCAGCGACTTCTCACCAAGGTGAAGAGGTCCCTGAACTAGTTGTACCTGCTCGACCTGAAGGTAGAGCAGCTAGTGTGCCTGGCGGCAAGACACACTGAGGGACCATGGATGTGGCATGCCTGGTTCGGACATCTCAGCTTCGACGCGCTTGGTCGGCTGGAGAAGATGGTCCGAGGGCTACCCCACATCAAGCATGGAGGCGAGCTGTGTAACAGCTGCCTGGCCGGGAAGCAGAGGAGGCTACCATTCCTAAAGACGGCCAAGTATCGCGCGAAGGACGCTCTCGAGCTCGTCCACGGCGACCTCTACGGGCCGATCACGCCAGCTACAAACGGTGGTTGGTGGTACTTCCTCCTGCTCATGGATGATTACAGTCGCTACATGTGGCTGCAACTCCTAACGAGCAAGAACGAAGTGGCGGCGGTGATCAAGAAGTTCAAGATGCGCGCGGAGGCCGAAAGCGGCAAGAAGCTCTACGGGCTGAGGACTGATCGTGGCGACAAATTCACTTTGGTGGAGTTCACTGCGTATTATGCGGATCAGGGTGTGGTGCGACACCACGTCGTACTTGCCATAACAGAATGGCGTGGTGGAGCGATGGAACCAGATGGTGGTCGGCATGGCCTGATCAATGATGAAGGCCAAAGGCATGCTAGCAAGGCTCTGGGGGGAGGCGGTGACCATGGCGGTGTTCATCCTCAATCGCGCTCCGACCATGGTGGGCAAGACGTCTTTCGAAGCTTGGTATGGGCGCAAGCTGAGCGTGTCCTTCCTCTGGACATTCGGCTGCATCGGCCACATCAGGAAGATGAAGCCAAACCTCACCAAGCTAGAGGGCAGGAGCACATCGATGGTGTTCCTGGGCTACGCCGAGGGTACCAAGGCGTACCGGCTCTACAACCCACACAGAGACAAAGTGCTTGTCTCACGCGACGTCGTGTTCGACGAGAAGGCGGCTTGGGACTGGACCAGTCCGAGCACAGGGGAAGCTGGTGGCTTCACTAGCACCCTCATCGTCGAGCACCTAGTCATCCATGGTGGTAGAGACGCTGGGGAAGAGGTGCCGAGCACTCTGGGAGGGGTGTCGAGCACTCCAGCGGTAGAGCCGAGCACTCCTGGGGCAGTGCCGAGCACTTCAGGAGGGATGCCGGGCACTCCAGGAGTGGTGCCGGGAGGTTCTGCAGTAGTGGCGACCACTCCAGGATAGGTGCCGAGCACTCCCGTAGCAGAGTCAAGACGTCTTGCAGTCGTGCCGACCACTCCAAGACTAAGGCTAAGCACTCCTACAGTAGTGCCGAGCACTGCAGGAGTAATGACGAGCTGCCTAGAAGTAGTGCCAAGCACTGCAACCAGGGTGCCAAGCACTCTGGTGGAACAGGGAACTCCATCAACACTGATCGAGTTCGCCTCACCTCCAAGTGACATCACTGAGTTCATGGATGCCTACCATGAAGGTGAGGAGGTGCGGTTCCGCAGGCTAGACGACATCATCGGCGGCACGAGTCCCTCCGGCTTGGCGGGTAGGCTACTCAACAACCCAGAGCTGCTACTTGTCAGTGCTGAGGAACCACCCACATTCGCGCTAGCCGAGCGCGACGGAAACTAGCGACGGGCGATGATGGAGGAGATGAAGGCGATCAAGGAAAACGAGACTTGGGAGCTCGTCGATCCACCTTCAGGATGCCGTCCGATCAGCCTGAAGTGGGTGTACAAAGTCAAGTGCGACGAGCACAGCGCCGTTGTCAAGCACAAGGTACCCCTCGTCGCCCGAGGCTTTATACAGCGCGAGGGCATAGACTGCGAGGAGCTCTTTTCACCAGTAGCGCGCATGGAGTCTATCCGTTTGCTACTAGCCTTGGCAGCAGCAAAGGACTGGAGCGTCCATCACTTGGACGTTAAATCGGCCTTCCTCAACAGCGAGCTGGCGGAGACGGTCGTTGTCAGGCAACCTCCAGGTTTCGACGTCCAGGGAGAGGAGCACAGGGTGCTCCGACTGCGCAAGGTGGTCTATGGGCTGCGGCAGGCCCCACGAGCATGGAACGCCAAGCTTGACACCACGCTGGGTGAGCTTGGGTTTCAGAGGTCCGCAACCGAGCACGTGCTCTACACGCGACGATGGGGGAAGCAAGAGCTCATCATCGGCGTGTATGTGGATGACTTGATCGTCACTGGCGTGCGCACGGAGGACATCAACAGCTTCAAGTGCAAGATGGCGGCTCATTTTCGAATGAGCGATCTCGGCGCACTCTCCAACTACCTCGGCATCAAGGTGAGATAGGGGAAGGAGGAACTCACGCTCGGTCAGAGCGTGTATGCCTCCAAGCTGTTGGAGATGAGCGGCATAGCTGGGTGCAAGTCATGTGTGACTCCGATAGAGTTGCGACTGAAGCTGACAAAGGTCAGTACCTCGGCGAAGGTGGATGCAACACTCTACCAAAGCATCATAGACGGTTTGCGCTACCTAGTCCACACAAGGCCGGACATGCGTTCGCCATGGGCTACGTCAGTCGCTTCATGGAGGATCCCAGAGAGGATCACTGGGTTGCGGTGAAGCGGCTACTGTGCTACGTCAAAGGGACGGTGGATCAGGGGATCATCTTCCTAAAGACCGGCGGGAGTAGGCTGCAGCTCACTGTGTTTAGCGATGCAGACATGGCGGGAGACATCGACGGACGATGGAGCACCTCTGGCATGCTCGTCTTCCTCGGGTGGGCCCCAATTTCATGGCTGTCACTGAAACAGATGATGGTGGCGCTATCTACGTGCAAGGCAGAGTACGTAGCGGCGACCACAGCGGCGTACCAAGTTGTGTGGCTATGCCGGCTGCTGGGTGAGCTGACCGGCGTGGATGCTCACCCACCAGCGCTGATGGTGGACAACCAGCCCGCCATCGCCCTCGCGAAGAATCCGGTTCTGCACGACCGAAGTAAACACATCGACATGAAGTTTCACTTCCTCATGGACTGTGTCGATGAAGGGCAGATCATCATCGAGTTCATCGAAACTGGTCGGCAACTCGCGGACTTCCTCACCAAGTCGCTCGGACGTCTTCGACTCACGGAGCTGAAGGAGATGATCGGCATGGACGGGATACAAGGGATAGCAGTAGAATTAGGGGAAGAATTGTTAGATAATCTACTGCCACCTTGTGTGAACACACAGCAAGGGAAGGCGGCGCCGAAAAGGCCCCCTGCTGTGATACTGTAGCCGCTGCAGGTGCAGGCGCCACATGGCTCACCTGCAGCACTGTAGCCACATGCAGAGGCCGGCGCAGAGTCAACCCTGCTGTGTTATCTAGTCACTGTTGCAGCATGGCAGCTGTACTAGGACTAGAAGGATAGAGTTGTATAAATAGACTGCCATAGCAACTCAGTAAAGAGAGTTCAGATTTGCCATCTCTCATACAGGGCTTCGGCCAACGCTGGTGTCTTATACTGTGTGTGTATGCTCTGTTCTCCCTTCTTCTTCTAGCTCTAGCCATAGTGTGTGGGGACGGACAACGCTTGTTCATGATCGGCACAGCTAGTGGGTGCTCGACAACACTAGCAGGAGCTGAGTAAGACTGGTTTGTGGTTCACTCATCTAAGCCGGTGTTTCTGTGGGCCAACAATGATACGGTGCTTGATCTCATTTGCTCCATGTCAAGAGAAGAAAGTTTTACTGCCACTATAAGTGGTGACTGCAAACAAATCACATCTTCAGGAAGCAAGGCTCGCAGGCTCCCAATCCATAATACTAGTTGGCCTGCAATCAACATGTCAAAATTGAGGTCGCCTACTATCAGCACTTATGCTTCAATAAACACTACGCCATCCTTTTATCTTTCGCGTGTATTGGATCTTGAAGATTGCAATCTTAGTAATCATCCAAGTCTAGAGTTTGTCGGTAAATTATTTCACCTGAGGTATCTAAGTCTAGCAGATACTGGATATTCTGGCGAGGTCCGAAGCGAGATAGAGAAGCTACACTTTTTGCAGACATTGTACTTCTCTGGAACAGGTATAAAAGAAGTGCCATTCAGTATCTTTGGGCTGAGACAATTAATCAGCCTTTTAGGTGGGGACAGGAACAAGTGGGTTGAGAAATCTATCGTCGCTGGAGGGGCTACAGATGAATGTGGATTCTGGTGCGGCCCTGTTCGCTGGGAGGGATTTAGAGGAATCTGAATAAATCTTGTAGAATTTGGGAGAATGTGAACAGTGTTTCCAGGCCGGCACAGTGATTTCCGGCTGGTTTCATGACCAGCCGAACGCGCCCAACTGAAGGTGCTATTTGTTAAGCTCAGAAAGGACAAGGAAGGGAGATGGGATGAAAGCATGTGCAAAGTTTTGGTGGGGTCCCTTGGCAAACTGCACAAAATCCAAACTCTTGCAGTAGTAATCTCAGATGACGTGGAAGTTGATCTTGAAGGCTCAGTGGACTCCCTGTGGAACCTGTGTCATCTTTTTATTCGTGGATACAATTGGATGCCAACATGGATCAATCCTGCATCGTTTCTTGTCCTCTCCTACCTGAAAATAAGGTTGGGTCAAGTGCGAAGTGAGGACATCCAAATCCTCGGCATGCTGCAGGCTCTTCGTTCTCTTAGAGTGAAAGTGGCTGGTTCAAAGATTCATGATTAGCGCTGAGCCGCTGACGCCTTCCCTTGTGTGACACGGTGTGAATTCTCTGGGTTTTCAATGGTGCCATCTATGTTCCCACCTGGAGCTATGCCCATGCTTCAACATTTTAAGTTTCATGTCCGACCAGAGGATTTCTGCTGGAGCGAGGTTAATGTAGATGAACTGGCCAAGAGGTGGTGACCAAAGTAAAAGCAGCACTGGTGCAGCAGGTGCGTGTCCACTCCAAGCATCCTGATATTTATTTCCGTCTCGGTTAATTGGAATGGATCCACTGCATGTACGCTTTGCTTCCCTTCCTTTATCTGCAGCATCTGAATGTAATCAAGAATATATAACCCTAAGTTCATCCACGACTTACCATGGCATCATATTACATATTTATATATGGATTATGATACTAGCGTAGCTTATTCTAGTCTTATGTATACACCATTCTTTTCGATTTGTCATGATCTGGTTATCCTGGTTATTCACTACCGTAGTAACTGGTACTTGGACAACCGTACTGTGCAATTTTATTCACCGGACTATAACAAGCTTTGTTCTGCTCTAGCAGCAAACTCTGTTTCTTTGCACATTTATTTAGAGACCCTGGACTCTGTTTTCTGAAACCATCGATGATTATCCCTAGCAGCAATTCTGAGTTATCGCTAGCTAACTGATGCAAATTCTTCGTTGTGTTCACCTCCCATCTCTTCAAACTGTTCAATTTCGCCTTTGTGAAGAGGACATGGTGAATGAAGAGGTGGCGATTGTTGACGTTGAGGATGGCCCCAAACCAACACACCAACAAGGCCTTGGACGCCCAAAGAGGTTGCACACAACCTGCAACGCAGCAAGAACGCGGCGTAATCGATCAAACCAATCTAAAGATCGGTGAGACCGATGTAGAGCTTGTTCTTGGCCGGAAAAGCTCCTGAACTTCTCCCAGAAAGACTCGTCGTGGAGGATCTCCTAGGACCAGCAAGGCCGCCTAGGATGCCGCTGAATCTCGCCCGGAAACTCAACGAACAGCAAGAGGGGTTGAGAGATGGGAATTGGACCAAAAAGTGTGTTGACGTCGAAAGTGATCCGAATAAAACACCAATAGGGCCTTGGACGCCCGGGCCGCTATGGACCGAAGAACACAGCGAGGATATATCACTCTTTCGTGGTGAAGAACGGAGAGGTTTACAAGCAAACCACCAAAGAATAACCAACGTGCTTACGTGACAAAGAATCGGCTAGTTTTCAGGCAAACTAGCAAAGAAACCGTCGAAGCTCTCGCCCGGGAGGGACCCCGTCAGGGCAAGGACGTCGTTGAGTTGCCCTAGGTCGGCCAGCAAGCCTAGGGCGCCATCCTTGGTCGTCGGATCAAGAGATGAAAAGCATGAGGGTTGGAGAAGAGGGCAAAAGGGTTGGAGTAGAGGTAGTAGATTGATTTGTTTGACGATTGGATAGATGGGAACTCAATCGGCCATGATCCTCTCATATATATAGAGGGGGTGGTCTTATCCCAGTAGGAAACCTCTCTAAGCCTTATTTACCAAGTTTCCCACGAGTTTGAAACAGTTCGGATCAGAATCCAAAAGGCTAGATCCGAACAGGATTTTCTATCAGGTATGTCGGAAGTCTAGTCGGAAGTCCCGACTTGGGTCGGAAGTCCCGACAGTCGGAACTCCCGACGTAGGGATAACCCCAGACACCCAGCATATTTCTTCAGGCTTCTCGGAAGTCCCGACACTCATCGGAACTTCCGACAGTCGGAAGTCCCGACTTGGGTCAGAACTCCCGACGTAGGGATAACCCCAGACACCTGAGCAGATTTCTTCAGGTTTCCCGGAAGTCCCGACACACGTTGGAACTTCCGACAGTCGAAAGTCCCAACCTGGGTTGGAACTCCCGACAACGAGGCATCTTTCCGAGGGCATAACTTCTTCATCCGGACTCCGAATTAGACATTCCATATATGTTTCTTGACCATCTCGACGAGAGGAATGCAATGGTGAAGTCCGTTTCACATTTTGACAACTTCACAAAATGAACATTTTTGGTTGTCAACATATGCCCCCCTGTTTTCAGGTGAATGATGCATAAACCTGAAAACACTTAATCAAATAAATTAAAACCAAACAGCAACGATTCCCATCTCATCTAATTTGCTTTCGGTGGCTAAGGGCGATGTATGTATACATCGCCATTTTTTCTAAGGGCGATACATGTATCGGCCATTGTTTGGTGAGCACTTAGGCTTCTTGCCAAACACTTGGAAAGTACCTTTTCAAGTACCTCCCGTTGATTGCTCTCGTGAGACGTTCACCTTGCAATGTCTCTAGCACATATGAATTTCTGAATATAACTTTGACCACTTTGTAAGGACCTTCCCAATTCGGTGAATACTTTGCAAACCGATTGCTCTTGATCCAATTGGTAGTATGGTTTTTCACACACCAATTCTCCCACTTTGAAGGATTTGCTCGACTTTCTTGTTGTATGATTTGGCAACTCGAGCTTTATCTTTCTCTATTTCCTTGAGAGCTTTTAATCTCACATTAGTCACCTCATCGATATTATCCATCATCAAATCATGATACACAACAGCTGATAAATCATTTTGTTTAGCAAGCATGTATGCATCCAAATTCACTTCGACAGGCAACACGGCCTCTTGGCCATATACTAACTCAAAAGGAGTAACCTTTGTAGCACCATGCCTTGAAATGCGATGTGCCCATAGAGCCTCAGACAAAACTTCATGCCATCTCCTTGGATTCTCCTCAATCTTCTTTTTGATAAGCTTGATCAAAATCTTATTACTAGACTCAACCTCACCATTGGCTTGAGCATAGTATGGAGATTAATTGAGCAACTTAATCTTATATAATTCGGCAAATTCCCTCACCTCCTTAGACACAAATGATGTCCCTTGAACTGTAGTTAATGTTTGAGGGATGCCGAATCTATGAATAATATGCTCAGTGATGAACTCAATCACCTCCTTGTGTGTCATATTCTTCAAAGGAACTGCCTCGGTCCACTTAGTAAAGAATCTATAGCAACCAACACAAATCAGTGTCCCTTTGAATATGGGGATGTATTTCGCCAATGAAGCCTAGCCCCAACCACGAAAAGGCCATGGTTTGATGATAGGATGAAGCATAGCAGCAGACACAAGCTAAATATTTTCAAACTTCTGGCACTCTTCGCATCTTTTATAGTAACGAAAGCAATCGGCCATCATAATAGGCCAATAGAAACCAGCTCTACGTAATAACCATTTCACCTTGGGGGCCGATTGATGCATACCACAGATGCCTTCATGGACTTCTTCCATAGCCACTCTTGCCTAATCTGATCCCAGGCACTTAAGCAGCAAATCTTCGGCGGTTCTTTGATAGAGCTCACCATTATGCAATACATATTTGAAAGCGTTCCGCCGAACCCTTTTATCAATTTTGGCACTTGGATCACGTAGATATCTCAACAAGGGAGTCATCCAATCTTCTAAATCGGCCCCAACATCACTAGAAGGTATATCGGGCCGATTTAATAGCTTCTCGGGCAAATTGACTGGGTTGGTCACAGGGGAGTCGGTTGAGCCAACAGGGCCGGTAGGCTTAGCTGATTTGGAGGTTTCGGCTTGGCCGACTAGGGTAGTCGGCTTAGCCGACTTGGCCACAGCAGAAGAGTAGTCGGCTGAACCGACTTGGTCAGTCGGCTTAGCCGACTGGTCTGTACCTACACAGGAAAATTGAAATCTTCATGTATCGGCTATTCTTGAATATGGAAATTATGTCCACTGACATCATAGCCAGATGCTTGTTGAGCAAACATGTTGGCCTTTTGATTTTCATGCCTCAGAATATGCTAAATTTGGAATTCAGCAAAATAGTCAATAATATCAAGGCAAGCATCAAGACAAGTTCTTAGTGACCCTTCTAAACATTGAAATTCACTAGCAACTTGCTGTACCACCAGCAAGGAATCACCATAGGCTTCAATATGTTATACCCCATGGATTGCAATATGACCAAGCCAAATAAGAAAACTTCACATTTGGCTCAAATGTTGGTGCAGATATAATTTTAATCAGCTTGATGTCTCCAATAGCACCATTGTGAGAAATAATGATTATGCCAACACCTTGGCCTTATTTGCAAGCCGACTAATCATATTGTCACATCCATGAAGTAAATCAAAATGCATATATCATGCCCCTCGAGCCTTAAGTCCATCAAAGTAAAATCCATGGGGGCTTTCTAATAGCACGATGGTCGCAAGCATTCATCGGCTATATTTTTACACTAAGGGCAATATCAAAATATCGGCCATATGAATTCATCCACAAGAGCATGCATAACCAAAATAAATATTTCGGCTCCTGATCATCGATAAGTAAAATAATTTGGCAACCCTCCATAACATAAAGATCCACACCAAGGATCAAAATAAGAAGCTAAGGGATAACCATGCATACCGGGGAATGAATTCCACATAGGCATAGGCAAAGAATATTGATGATGCCATGACCAATAATTTTGATGATTTGGTGCAAACCTCCAACTTGGCAATTGTTTCTTGAATCTCCTTCTCTCCTTTGCTTTTGTTTCACCACTTGCTTGAACATCATCCTTCTGAGCTTGAATACTTGCTTTGGAAACCCATGCCAAGCCTTTTTCTTTTAGCTTCTCTGCACTAAGCTTTTGTAGCTTGTTTTCTTGCCACTTTGGTAAAGCGATTGAGTATATCGGTTTTATTTCTGTTTTGGACAGGGTAAATCTTTCTTGATTTTGGGCACTCCCACCTTTTTTTGTTCAGATGTGGCACCTAGAATATTAATAGATGACTTCCTCACTTCTTTGCCATCAATAGCCAGATTTTTCAGCAATGTAATCGGCTTTTCGATTGTTAAATTCAGATCTAAACTCTTCTTCTTTCGGCCATCATACATCACGCGGTAAACTTGTTTTACCACTTTCTTCTTTGGTTGAGCTCCAGACCGATTTGGATCAAAATGGTCT